GTTCATACCAGCATCGTATTCATCGATGCAAACATAGAGCTAAGAACATTGGTTTAGTACTTTTTAGATAGAGATGAATAACTGAACAAAAGATAAAATACCTTGTTATCACTCAATTCCACCATGTCCAGTAACTTCTTGAAATTCACCAAAGCATCATCTTTTATATCAATGACTTCAAAATGATTTCCTAATTCCTTTTTATATCGGTACATAAACTTTGATATATCTGTATTCAAAATCGCATGAAAGTTTGCATTAAAATTTTCATACGTTTCGTTAGTGCGAAGTCCAGCAAAATTGAGTTCCAGAACGAGGAATGAGGATGCTAATTTTGTAGGGTTTTTGCCAATGTATAAATTCCCGAAAAGTCGTTCGAATCGTTCTCTGTTTTTTATGTCATAATAAGAGGATAAAGTAGAGAGGAATAGTGTTTTTCCGAAACGACGAGGACGTAGGGAGAGTATGGCAGGAGCATTAAGATCCTCTATCTTAGAGATAAAGGCCGTCTTATCCAAATAATAACCACTTAAAGCAACAAATGACCCTACTGAAACTATTTCAAGAGTTTTCGGAGATGGTGCATCTGATAGGAACCGAGGAAAGAGTGAAAAGTGAAAAGAAGGGTGAGATCGAACGAGTTTTCTTAGAAATGCCATCACGCGTAACACTTTACTGCAAGGATGAGAAGTTAAAATCGTAAAAATAGTACGATTTTTTATTGGATCAAGTGTGAACAGCTGAAGGAAATAGGTGGCGCAGTAAATCGTACGCCATCACTGACGAGCCTTTTCTATAATAGCAACTGGACTATGTTCCCTTCGCTTTTAAAACTTTAGCTATTACATAATCAATATCGTCTATGCTTAACCTTGAAATCGATGACGTGGAAAAAGTCTTAATACAATTTATCTTATCTTTACTTCCAACACCATCAAAAAGTTTAAAGATCTTTACTGCCTTTCCTTCCTTTTTCTAAGATTAACCTCGCTAATTTTATCCTGATTAGGAAACTGATCTCGAATTTTATCATTAACTGGAGAATTAGACGTATCAATACTATATTTTTTCGATAATGATCAAACCATAACTTATACTCTTCTCCGAAATAATAATAACAGCGGACTACGTCTAGAACAGTTTTTTGATTACTACCTTTCGCTTTGATGATCATATCGTTTAATTCGTAAAAATTGACCGAGTTTATATCCATTTCGGGGAATGTCTGCAAAGTGATAGTATTCAGAAGAATTTTGCTGGAGATTAGAAGTAATAATTCTTTGATTAGCCTTCTTAACGTAGGAGAACCATCCCCATTAATTGGCTTCTTAGCTTTTTTACTAGAGGAACTATTGGTAGAGGTAGGTTCATTACTAGGTTTGTTAACACGCTTTTGTGGTAAAACAGTAGTTGTACTAGATGTTTCCTCGACACGATGCTCCGTTTCTTCATTTCTATCCAGATCTATTGCTTG